CCATCTGACAGGAGGGAGCCTCATGTGTCACTCCCATGTCACTCCACGGAGTTCACTCCGTCACGGAGGGGGAGTGTGTAGGGCGTGGTTTGGGATTGGGCCATACACACGCACTTTTTTGGCCCCCCCACTTCTAAAATGAATCCGGCGCGCCTGCAAGGAACGCGTTGTCGCCAGACAACCGAAGACGGCCGAATACGGCCTGGTGTGTCAGGGCCTTTAAGAGTGAATATCGGCTGATAATGACCGGCGGCCGATCGATCGGAGCATCCCTAATTATTACCGGACATTTTGACCGGCAGGTTTTGAATTTACCGGTTTTTAATACATTTTACCAGCTAAAAAACGGTAATTACGGCTAGCGTTGCACCGGCTGCACCGTCGATAGTTACGCCACTGCCTGTCAACCAATAAGACATATGTTTATTTCCATTCAACTCTCTGGTTGGTCTGGTGTCTTGCCTCTGTTGCATTCAACGAACACAGGAAATTACAATCCTGCCGTCCTCTCTAGTGTCATGATGAGGTTCAGGTAAAGCACGGTTAATGTATTATATGATTGACTCAATAATATAATACATGACTTTGAGAGTAGGCAATCTAGGCATATTAACAAAATGTATTAAACATACTTATCATGGCGACGGTGTACTGAGATAAAAAAATAATCTTTTTTTTTTTTTTTTTTTTTTTGCTAGGGGGCCCTTATGTATTGCCACTACAGCGCGGAGCTCGCTTTAAGCGTGCCGAGCCGTGCGGGGCCCGTTTTTGGTTGCGTTTGCACTTAGCCTAGTACCGGCTAGCGGGTACTATTTCACAGTTTTTCTGGCCCCATAAAATCGAGGTTCTTTCCGGGCCAACAACCGGGCTGAGTCGGGCTGAGTATGCTAAACTAGAGAGAGAATCGCTGGCAAGGGGGCTACAACTACAACAAAATGAACATATTTGACCATGATTTAATTGTAATACACGTTTCAAAATGATGCCGAAGTAACTGCTTTGACAAGTCTGCAGACAGACGGCAGGCGAGAAACCTTTTAAAATGCGTGTTTTCTGAATGGAGATCGCAGTGTATGCTCCGACCGTCCACACTCACAACAACGGCCTATACAGACATAAATAAACCAGCGACTGTATTCGCCATGACACAGACAGTCTGTGGTTTGTACTTGTTTAACTTTTGTCTAGTTTCTGAACAGATATGAGGAGCTGTGAGCTCTGAGGGCTAACGGCTGATGTTGTTTTTGTGTTTCGCATTGAAGATGACGTCACGGCTCCGCCTACACTGCATTACTATAGATACTGCCCCAGTTCCTAAACTGTAATGGAAATGCGCCATAAAGTGAGCCAGTCCTAACAAGGCCAAACAAGGCCTAGCCATACCGAGCGAGGCCGACCGAGGCCGTGTAGTGGAAATGCGCCATTAGTGGCTATGGGGCCCTAAGCGGCCGCTTATGTCGCTTAATGGGTCGGGCCGGCTCTGCCGCTCAGCATAAGTTACCATGGAGATCTAGCCCGCTAAAAAGAGAACCAGCGTCGTAGGACCGGAAACCCAGAGTTTTCCCTGAAGTTAGCCCGCTCAGCGAAAATCCGGCTTTTCCGGTTGGCCTAATCCAAAACATACGCGCTCTCGCTAAGCGGTCCTACGACGCGGGTTATCAAGTGGATCGCTCAAGCCAGCCGTGTCTAGTTAGGTGCGCGTTCACATGAAAGGGGTGGTATTTGGAGCGATCGACCAATAACAAAAATGGACAAGCGTACTGACAGGACAGCGCGTCATACTTCCTGAATGAAAAGTCAACTATAATATTAGACAAATATGAAGACGTTAAACTTTAAACATCCATGACTTAAACACTTTATCCAGGATCAAAGCCACATAGCTGCACCTGCAAGGTGAATACAGCTGGTAAAAGAAAAAGTGTTTGAATGCATACATTAACAGGTTTATGATATCACTGCCCCGTCTAAGACACGAGTGGATCTGACTTTAATTACATTTGACTCGAGTGTTTTGTCAACTTAATGTGTTGCTTAAAATAATACTTCTGCATACAGTATGTGACACTGTGAGTGTTGCACGGCCAGATACGGCTCAAGAAGCTGACTCAGATAAGGAAATATATGATATGATATGAATGATAATGGGACACATCGACGTCTGCACTCACAGTGCCGCGGACTGTACGTAATGTTACTATGATCCGGTTACTTATGTTGTGGCAAATATTTAAGTAAGTTTTCTTAACGCTAATGTTATAATAGTCAGATTGCTCTGAAGATGGGAGGTGATATTCTATTAACTTTCACGTTCACACAGTCGGTGATTTTTGCCGGCCGTCTTTCCTACAACGGCAGTTTAAACTGTATTTCCTTTCTCCTGTAATATGACTTTATCGCTTTACACTCCGCACACTGAGCTCTGATTGGTCAGCAGGCAGTGCTTTCACTGAGTTGATCTCTTAGCCTTGAAGTAAAAAGATATGATTCTACACTGTATTGAAGTAAACATGTATTATTTTGAATTGTATTTTAGTGAACATGTATTGTTTGAACTGTTATAGGTAATCACAACGGATTTGGGTAATCATATATATAGAAAGGATATTCTTACTTTCAAACTCACTGACCCAGAGATTCTGTTTCACACACACACACACACTTGGCCTTTTCACCCCTAAAAACCAGATGTTGATTTTAAAGTCGTTAAAGACCTCATTAAATAGATGCAGAAAGGTTTAAATGTCTGAAGGAGGATAGTTTATGTGAAGAACTCATGGGAAAGGAATGGAGTTAAGATTCAAATCGGAGATAGGGGTTGACTTTTGACCTTGGGAAACTTTGGAATTTGACGTACTGGTCAGAACTATTGAACCCGACCAGAAGTGAATCCAGCCAGTAGAAACACTTGGGGGAGGTGAGCAGCTTAGACAGCTCCTCCCAACGTACTCTCTCATTCGCTTTGGAGTAAAAGGGGAGGGGAAGAGTCGGCACATCTCCGCCCCAAAATAGGGATATGTATACTGTTGTTTTTGAGTGTAAAATGCTTCTGGTTTGTTGAAAGCTGGTGCTAGAAGACGGTAAACCGCATCACAAACCTGGAGTCCATACTTCTCGTTTTCTGAAAGCTGGTCTGTCTACCTGTAAAACCGCATCACAAGCCTGAAGCCCGGAGTACTCGAGTACTCTGTATATGTGTTTGGTTTCCTACCAGTAAACTCAGATAATTGTTATAACTTTTGATTCCGGTGTTTTCAATTCCTTTCTTTATTTTAATAGAGATTTCAGCATCATCCAACGAACGGCGCGTAGCAGAGGTGTTCTGCTCCAACAGCCTGCAACCTAACCTGCTCCGGAGCAGGTTAGCCGCTCAGCATAAGTTACCATGGAGATCTAGCCCGCTAAAAAGAGAACCAGCGTTGTAGGACCGGAAACCCCTTGTTTTCCCTGAAGTTAGCCCGCTAAGCGAAAATCCGGCTTCGTAGTACAGGCCTCTGGTCTGGTACTGGTTGTTGTCGTACTTAATAGATTTATTAGCTATTTCATTATTTTCAACATTATATTTTTGACGATTATAGTATATGGTTTGTTAATATTTTGTCATTTCAGGATTACCATTTCATGTTGCTATACCAAGGACATTACATTTCAGCTGGACATTGTTTTAGTTTTTTTCTCACTGGACCTTTTCCCATTCCTTGAAGAGCACTTGATTGTTGACTTGAACATCACTAAGATAGAGTTGAAATACTGACCAGTGCAGTGGATTGGAAATCTTAATACCACACTTTATTGCACGTCAGACAGGACACACAGTCACACAATTATTGAACACTGTTGGAACATTTTAAAGTTGTTCAAACCATAGGCATCATTTATTCTAGGGACACTGGGGACATGTCCCCATCACTTTAGGAATGGCCAATTTTGTCCCCACCACTGTGCGTTAGGATCATTTGTTAGAAGTGTTCTGAAAATAGTTCTCAAAAAGAATTGTACTCTTTGAGAAAGCTTTATTTGCACAAGAGAACATGTACAATCTGGAGGACTGTTCTCACTTTCTGGGTGTGTTTCTGGGAACCCAAGTGGTGCAGTTTGGACCTGCGACACGTTTAATATCAGTAATAATTGAATAGAGAATAGTAAAGCAATCGTTGCTCCGCTTTGCAGCAGCCTAGTTACTGCACTAGTTGTAAAAGAAAGTATTGTAATCATAAGGGTGTATGTATATATGTTAGGGCTGTCAGTCGATTAAAATATTTAATCGCGATTAATCGCACATTTTTTATCTGTTCTAAATGTACCTTAGAGGGATATTTTTCAAGTTTTTAATACTCTTATCAACATATGAGTGGACAAATATGCTTTATATGTTTGTTTATTATCATTTGAACAATGACAAATATTCTCATGAATATTAAACACAACAACCTCTGAACATTACAAATATTCGCCTCAATTCAACCTGGAACCTCTCTCATACAATAATACTGTGTGTGTGTGTGTGAGAATGTGGAGACACTGTGATGGATCGTTGGAGCTATGTGCCGCTCAAGGCATATATGCTCGAACGTGTGCTGCCTGGACGCTGCAATCATGTAGCGCGCACTATCCGTGCTTAGTGTGCTGACTTTTCGTACAATGTCCCACTGTCTGGCTACCTGCATAAAGTCAAGTGCTCGGCGCAGTTTTCGGCGAAATGTCATTGAAACAGCTCCTTATATCCGTTAGCGCAGCTAGCTAGCACCAGATGCTAACAACAACAACACGTAAGGTGTGCCTCGCTCGCGCGAGTCGCGCGCCACACACACCCTCCCGGTCCTCCCGATGGCCAGTCCGGGCCTGCCGGTGAGCGTGGAAGTGTGGTCTGCCACAAGCGGGAGGCAGGAGCGGGGCTGTCAGCATCAGCTTGTAGATGGTATTTTAAACTCGATGCGCTCTGAAACTACGGGGCGGCCGAGGACAAAAAATACGTTGCGTGCGTTAATCGCGTTAAAATAATTAGTGGCGTTAATTTTTTTTTGCGTTAACGCGTTAACGCAACTTGACAGCCCTAATATATGTATGTATTGTCTGCGGGGGGTTTAATGCAGTAGTGTTTATTTTTTCATCTTAAAAAAGTGTCCCCACCACTTTTTCTAACAAAGTGACGCTCATGGCTAAAACAATTTTACACTGTTGGAATATCTTAAAGTTTACAGAAGTCTGGTCCTTTCTCTGTATTGAGTCTTTGTTTACTTTGAGTGAGGGGCCCGGCTCCAGCCGGCCCTCTCCCTAGTGTGCAGCCTGAAGTGTGTGTTGAGGTGCGCCGACTGGTTGAAGCACTTCCCGCAGACATGGCAGCGGAAGGGCTTCTCCCCGGTGTGGATGCGGTGGTGCCTCTTCAGCATGCTGACCGTGGTGAAGCTCTTGCGGCACACTGCGCAGCTGTACGGCTTCTCCTTGGTGTGCCAGCGCATGTGGACCTCCAGCTGGCAGGCGAAGCTGAAGCCCTTCCCGCACTCTTTACAGCTGTGCCACCTCTGGAGGCTCTGGCTGGAGAGAGAGGAGCGGGGCGGGGGCGGCTTCAGGGATCTGACATTCTTGATCTGCATTATGTGCAAGCTCTGTTTTCCATTGGAGCGGAGTAACCCTCTCACCTGCTGCTCTGCTCTCTCAGTCCGGTGACTCTTTGCTGCAGAAAGGCTCTGAGCCACCCTGCAGTGGACAGTCCTAGGGGGGGTGAAGCTGTTGGCTGGCTGCTGTGTCCTGCTGTCCTCTTTCTCCTTCTCTGCCTTAATTTCCTGGGATGTTAGTGGAGGTGGGGAGACACTTTGTCTGCTACACACACTTTGGGTTGCTGGAGGATGTGTCCTCTGGAGAGGCTCCTCCTGACTACAGTTCCCTCCCTCAGAGTCGCTTGCTTCTTGTGAACAACAATCCGTCTGAAAGTTTCCCAGGTTTGGTTCTTCTTTGATTTGTGACAGAGGCTCCACACTGCTAATCCACTCAGACTCACAGGGCTGCTCATCGTCTGGGGGCTGCGCCGAGTGAGGTTCTGAAAGATTACAAAAATCACAGTCATGCTAGGGGTATTTGCATAAACATACTGCGGTGCTGTGACTTTTGAAGGGTTGCCCTGCTGAAGACGAAGTACAAGGTAGTCATACTTTATTCAGAATGCTCTAAGATGTACTGATTAGTAGTCAAAAATCAGAATAAGAAACAGGTTTATTTCCAAGTAGGTTTACACAGATGAAGAATCTGCTTTGGTGTATATGGTGCATATATAAACACAGTCAAAGATCAATTGTAAGAAAAACGACCAAAGAAAAAAAACTATTATGTAAAACAATTGTTTTACTTTGCCAATTACGTTGACTTGTGAAGCCCTCTGAGACAAATAGGATTTGTGATTTGGGGCTATATAAATCAACTTGAATTGAATTGAATTAAAAATAATATTATAACGTGAAAAAATAAGAGAAATATTTACATGAAATAAAGCTATACCAAAAAACTACGTACAGTATAATATGATAAAATACTCGGAATGTTTTTATTAAATATGTGCAGAATTGTTATGAAAAGTGGAAAGCTGTGCAGATATTAAGAGGTCGCTTTGTTTACAAATGTGCATGAAGGGTTGAGCAGGACTGACAGTACTGAACACAAGATATTGTTGCATCGTGTGCACCTATGGAACGCATGTACAGATAATTGTACAAATAATACATATAGATATAATCTCCATCTTTGTTCTGATCAGTTTGTGCAAGTTCTATCGTGGTATAAAAACACACACACACCTTTTGCTATTGTTGTTTGTTTTCTGCATCAGTTTTATTTATTGTTCAGTGTCAATCAAATACAGAGCGTAAGATGTAGCTACTGTTTTACAGAGCCTAAGCGCCCCACTGTTAGCTCCAACCACCCGCACCACCTATGAGCGGAGCCCCGCAGAGAACACATCGAGGGAAGCCAAGGAGGTTTGACATGCCGGCTGACAGCGCTTCTCACCGGGCTGCAGGAGGAGCCTCTGCACGGCCACATTCAGGAGCCGCTTCAGCCGCTCGTTCTCCTCCCTGGAGCGCAGCAGCTCGCCCTGGTACTCCGCCACCGTGTTCTTAACGGCGCGGAAAATCTCCTCAGCGGCCGCGGTCAGCCTGTCGTTCAGAAACACGTTGAGCAGCTCCAGTTTGGTCATGTTTCTGACTGCTGCTCCACAGGCGGAACGTCCTTCTATTTACATCCGCTCACCCGGAAGTGTAGAGAGGAGAAAAAATAAGCATCGCTGTCAGAGGTGAGAGGTTCCCCCTGCTGGAGACTACACACAGCTGCACACTGTCACACAGAAATTGTGCGAACCTCATACCCGTTTCCATAAATCCAGTTTCATCAAAAGTAAGCTCATTGAACCTGGCTGTTCTTCATATCAGGTCACTTGCAGGCAAGTCACTTATAATTAATGATTTTATTATCAACCACAGCCTTAACTTTATGTTTTTAACTGAAACCTGGCTAGATGACAACAACAGTGGAGCTGTTCTCATTGAAACAGCCCCTCCGAACTTCAGTTTCATGGGTGAGAACCATAGGTGAGAACAGAGCACACAGGAAAGGAGGTGGAGTTGCCACTTTGTTTAATAATAGTTTTCTTTGTAAGAACATTTCAATGCAATCATTTCCCTCTTTTGAATAGCTGGCTGCTCAGTTAAATGTTTCTTGTCGAGCACAGTTCCTCCTAACTATCTACAGACCACCAAAGTATTCAGCAATATTTCATGATGATTTTTCTGAATGATTGTCAATCATCTGCATTGATTTTGACTCCATACTCGTCGTAGTCGGTGACTTAAACATTCATACGGACAACCCCATGGACAGTAGTGCTATTGAATGAGCAAATCTCCTGGAAAGCTATGGACTAATCCAGCATGTGAAAGGGCCCACTCATACATCGGGTCACACTCTTGATCTGGTTATAACCAAAGGTCTTAATAATTAAAACATCCTGGTCACAGATGTTGGTCTCTCAGACCACTCCTGCATCTTCTTCCAGATCGACCAGTGTTTTCCTTAAGAGGCAACCATACATAATCACAAAACGACACATCACAGAGAACATTACATTACATGTTACTTGTTAGACGCTTTTATCCAAAGCGACTTACATACTCAGTACTGTGGGCAATCGCCACAGGAGCAATTTGGGGTGAAGTGTCTCAGGGACACAACGACATGCTGACTGCAGTGGGGTTTGAACCTGTGACCATGTGAGAATGACCATTGAGCGGCCCGACCAAGCAAGGAGGCAGAGGCAGAGAGTTCAAATACAACCCGGTGTGGGCATTTATTTAATCATAGACACATGACACAGCCTCAATCTGACTGTCCATGTGAACACCATCACCAACCACAAGGATCTCACCCCACAAACAAACAGGAAACACAGAGCCTAAATACACCCAGACCAATCAAACCAACAAGACACAGGTGAGGGGGGAGGAGACAACACAGGGCACCAGGTGCACACAATCAGCAGCAACAGACATGGGGGAGTGATATGTCAACTTTACACAGTGGTAACTTGTACAATTAATGCAACTTAACGTCATGATTTATACACCCTCAACATATTATTTGCACACAATGATTAATCTCAACCGCTGTCATTCTTACACAATCATAAACACTTTCGGCGCTCTCGCTAACTCCCCTCTCTTTTCAGGCGGAGCCGAGGACCCGACCAGCACCTGCCAGACGACATTCCAATTAATACGGTTTAATCATTTAATAAATACTACATCAATAACTAGTATAAATTATATAAAAATGTGCAAATATGCAATGCCAAACTGTACTGTGCAATCACGCTAATAAAGTGCAAACTGTTCACTAAAGTGCTGAGTGACTTTATCTCTGCAAAGGGAAGTTGTTTCATAAAGTGCAAACTGTTCAGTAAAGTGCTGAGTTACAAGGCCCCGAAGCCATCAGTCCACAGTCCACAGTGGTCAGTGATGAAGTTACCTTCGTCACTGACCATCTGATCCCCATACCAAGGCTCTGCACTGCGCCACACGCCTCCCTACAAGCAAGTTGTTCATCAGGCCTTCTCTTCCACTGCCGAACCTCATTCAAACTCTGTTGATGAATTGGTTGACAATTACATGTCAAAAACGACACATCTCATTGATGCTCTCGCCCCTGCTACAGTCAAAGCTGTCTCTGGTAAAAAAGCACCATGGAGAAACGCCACACTGGTGAAGCTTCAAAAGAGGGAATGCAGAAAAGCGGAACGCAGATGGCGTAAATCAAATCTCCATGTTCATTTTGAGATTTTGAAAGACTGTCTCCATACTTATGACTTCATACTATGGAATGCAAGACGCTCCCCCCCCCCCCCCCATATCAGTAGCCCCTGAACCCCTTTCTGCTGAATCATGCAACAACTGTGCATCTTTCTTCACCAAAAAAATCCAAAATATAAGACTAGCGATCGGTGCCTCCATTTCAGAAAATGTTTTGATGTCACCCATTCTGACTCCGGACACAAGCTCTAACTGCAAGCTACAATGTTATCCTATCAACCAAGATGCTCTGGAGAAGATTGTGTTGGGTTTAAGGCAATTTCCCCAAATCACTGAAAACAGCAGTAATCAAGCCTCTCCTGAAAAAGAACAATTTGGACAATTCAATCAGGCAGAAGGCCAATTTCAAACCTCCCCTTTTTGGGAAAAATCATTGAAAAAGCTGTTTTTCATCAGCTCAACACCTTCCTTGCACTGAATAACTGGTATGATACATTCCAATCTGGATTTTGGTCACATCACAGCACTGAGACTGCTCTTACTAAAGTTCTCAATGACATTTACTTGAACACTGACAATGGCAAAATATCAGTCCTAATATTGCTGGCCTCAGCGCTGCATTCGATACAGTTGACCAACATTGGAAAACTGGGTTGGACTATCTGACAATGCCCTTCACTGGTTTGAATCGTATCTGCGGGACAGAGAGTTTTTTGTATCCGTTGGTCCTTACAAATCTCAAAATACACCCATGACATGTGAAGTTCCCCAAGGTTCAATTCTCGGTCCAGCTCTGTTCAATGCTCCCACTTGCTCATATCCTTAAACAATACAAAATATCCTACCATAACTATGCAGATGACACTCAGATTAATATCACAATAAACCCTGAGGACAAAGGACCATTACAATATCTGAAAAGGAGCAAATCAGCACAACAATTTCCTGCAACTTAATAAGGACTAAACGGAAACAATTGTTTTTGGTGCCAAAAAGGACCGGGCCAATATCAGAACTCAATTGGAAAAGATACTGTTGAAAACATCAGACAAGGTCAGAAACCTTGGTGTAGTTATGGACTCTGATTTACATTTCAAAAAGCACATCAAAGGAATCACAAAATCAGCTTTTTATGACCTGAAAATTATAGCCAGACTGAAAACACTTATGACCCAACACGACCTCGAAAAACTAGTCCATGCCTTTGTTTTGAGCAGACTTGATGACTGTAACAGTGTTTTCACAGGGCTCTGTAAAAAAAAACAATAAGACAACTACAACTCATCCAGAACGCTGCTGCCAGAGTCCTCACCAATAGGAGGATTGACCACATCATCCCAGTTCTCAAAAATCTGCACTGGCTTCCTACACAAAGGATACACTTCCATCTCCTACTTTCAACATACAACGCACTTCATTGGGACCAAAATACATGTCAGAGATGCTTCACTGTTACGAGCCAGCCAGAGCTCTCAGATCAACAGGAGCGGGTTTACTCGTCGTCCCCAGAGTCAGAACTAAATTTGACGAGGCAGCTTTTAGTTTTTATGAACCACAAGCTTGGAACAAACTGCCTGAAATGCTGAGGTCTGCCCCAACACTGGGTTATTTTAAATCAAGGTTGAAAACCTTTCTTTTTAATGCAGCCTGAGATCCTTTAACCGTGCCTTATCTTTGCACTTTTAGTTGCAGCCAGTATTTTATCGCTTTTATGAATCGTCTTTTTTTTGGTTTGTTTTTCATTGTGTGTTTGTTTTTGTTTTTTAACACTCACTCACTCCGCGGAGCTCAGACCCCACGCAGCAACAGGAAACGACACCAGTAATCCAGCTCACACTGTCCGCTCCTCGAGCCCCACAGGGCGGAGCAGCGAGCCCCGCAACATCCCACCAACACGGCACCCAGACCCCACGCAGCATTCTCATCTGTTTGTCATTACTGGTGTCATTTTCTGGTTGCTAACAAACGCCATTGTAACACATAATCACTGATGTTCCGCTGTAACGATGGTTGACTAATCAGAACAGAGTGGGCGAGCTGACCAATCAGAGCACAGTGGGCTCATAGGGAGGGGGGGCAGGAGCTCCAACAAGGCGTTTAGGACAGAGAGTGAATACACATACTATACAGAGATGCTGTATGAGAAACCAATGTGAGTTTGGAACATTGAACAATGTAAATCTATTCTAGTAGACCTCAACAATGGAATTATGATCAGTAGAAATGGCCATGTCATGGGACCTTTAATAAAGTGCATTTTAATAGAGGACAGCAGTATCTCAGTCTGGATGGTCATTGGTTTGAGTCCCAATACGCACCTTAAAACATTGAGTGGACAACTAGCTGGAGAGCTAGCTGGTGTGTCCTTGAGCAAGGCACTGAACTCTTAAGTACTCCTTCATACAAATGTACGTGTGTGTGTGTGTAGGAGCTATTTTATGGGTGTTGTTGGCATGTCAGTTTATTTAATTTATATGTATAGTGCAATACTATTTTGAACACTTGGTGGCGGGGTTTAGCTGCACCGGGTGTATAAAAGGGGTCATAGGTGACAGGAAAGGAGGACACAGGAGGAAGAGAGCATACCGAATTCATCAGCCCGGCAGAAGCTCACCACAACCATTGACACAGTATAATTAAACCTTGGTATGTAAAGCAAAATAAACATCATTCTAAACTGCAGCAAAAGACCGGAAAATCATCTGTTTGTGTCTGCGTCTGGATCACTCTAGTCCAGTGTTTCTCAAAGTGGGGGGGCGCAGAGGCATGACAGGGGGGCGCAAGAGACCAGGAGGAAAAATTGTAATGAAAAAAAAAATATATTAATAATTTGAAACGTTGCTACAGTACAAGTACGTCTGGGTCTCTGTGTTTCATTCAAGCTCGGCTCTGTGTGTGTGTGGAACGATCCATTTTGTGTGCGTGCGCGAGAGAGATAGAGCG